GTAATATTATCCCAAATACACCCAATTCTGCGTTTCTAAAGCCGCTATTGATTTGTGCAAAGATCCAAAAGCAGATTCCAAGCTAAATTCACTCATATTTTCTCAGCTGCCAAATGTGAAATATGACATTATCAGGGAGGAATTACTCTTCTGGTTGAGCATGATCTTAATGTGCTATTTCTTCTAGAACTCTGCTATGGAGATTACTCAGATGTCCTCTGAAATACAATTTTTGTCTCAATTTTGCTTCTGCTGCTATTTCTATATCTTCATTGCCATTACATATCTTCCCTTTGCTAGTACATCCAACATTCTCACCACAGGCAGAACATGTGTTTTGTTGTAAGGCCGTATCAATGTTACCTTACTGTCCACCTCACAGCAGCCTTCTTCATCTTTCTGCATGAGAGAACACCTACGTTTTTTACTGCATTCAAATGTATTCTATAAAAATGGCTTAACTCAAGCTGCCTTTAGGCAGTTCTCACTTCACCTAGATGTTCCCTGATCCCCAAGATGTGACTTTTTGTGCTGATTGCTCTTTTCTTTCATAACTCGTAGGCTGTTTGCCTATTTTGAATGTGATTGTGAAGATGGTGCTTATTTGCTGGGTGTGGAGCCCTTTTCTACAGATTCCCATGTGTTTTCTCCCATTGCCGGATAGGTTAAGTATCTCTGTCTGAAAGGAATTCTAGATGTCCGCCGTGTTTGAGAGTTGATCTGTCCAGGTGGCTTCTCTTATTTGCAGACCTGCTTTTGTCTTCTCCGTTGAAGTCAAGTCCCCGATCAACACTTTGCTTTTGCGCTGGTGACCTGATTGTTGGGTTGTTTTCATTCTGCTGGACTGCTAGGACGTGGAGTTTGCACCTCAAGGAGATCAGTTATAGCTGCCAAATGCAGTCCTAGAGAAGGAGGCATGCAGGGTCTGGAAGGTGACTTGCACAACTGAAATTAAATAGATCAGCAGGCCTTTTTACACAACCAGTTCTTCAAATGCATCTTGGTAGAGGAAACAATATAAGGGCTGCTGTGAAAACACCATCTTACTCTTCCAGCAGTGTCCTTGGACCGAATGCACTGAAGATCGTGGAAGGGGCAGTTAAAAGAAAAGAAATGGCTCATAGCTCTGGTCAGTCCAAAGAGAAAAAGAAGAAATCTGCACTGGATGAGATTATGGAGGTAATACTCATGCAGGATCTGTGTCTTTGTAATCCCATGCCTATGGCAATGTCCACTTTACCAGGGCATCCCTTTGAAGTGACCCCAGACCTCCAGTTCAGGAATTCAGACTTTAATATCTTATCAGGCAAAATTATTTCACTTCCCTATTAAAACTGGTTTTGCTGCTCATCTGTGCCTATTCCCCAGACGACTGAGATGTTGGAAGTAAAGGAATACAGATTTTAGAAGAGAATATCTGGAAACACTTGACAAAACCCAAATATTAATCTCCATCATTTTATCGTGGATTCTTGGATCTCAGATGATTGATTTTTTTTTTTATGCAGCAAGCACCCACTGACTTACCCTTATTTAGGTTGGTTTTGTTTTTTTACTCCCCACTTGACGTGGGCCTGAAGAATTGTATCAGCTTTTCAAAGGCATGGGAAGGCTGCAGTGAAAGGAGGAATTAAATGGTGATTGTTTGTTGTTCTGTAGCTTGAAGAGGAGAAAAAAAGAACATCTCGAAGAGACTACTGGTTGCAGCCTGTAAGTGTCTTAAAAATGAATATTATACCAAATACAACCAATTCTGCGTTTCTAAAGCCGCTATTGATTTGTGCAAAGATCCAAAAGCAGATTCCAAGCTAAATTCACTCATATTTTCCCAGCTGCCAAATGTGAAATATGACATTATCAGGGAGGAATTACTCTTCTGGTTGAGCATGATCTGCAGTCAGAAACATCATACTGCCTGATCTCAGAATTCTCTAATTAAAAGAGTTGATACTGTGAGTCTCTAGAGATCATGTTTAAATCAATATATTGCTTACAGCCCTCTTCTTTCTGCATAATAGTTTTGAGGATAAAGACAAATGCCTGAAAGATGAGTCTTTACTGTTGTTGCTTCCTGCGCTGTGCTGTAGTCTGTGGTTGGAGTCAGAGCGACCTGAATGTGCAATTAAGTTTTGATTGTGTAGTTGTTTGTATATTTGGCATTTTATTTTTTTGTTGTCTTTTCAAATTTTCCAGGAAATCATTGTAAAAATTGTAACAAAAAAGCTCGGAGAGAAGTATCACAAGAAGAAGGCAGTTGTTAAGGTAAAGCATGCAAATGGGAGCATGTGGCATTGGCTAGGCTTTCCTGGTAGCAGATGACTGACAAAGTTTTGTTCCATTGTGCAAGTTGTTCAGCCTTAAGTCAACATTGACAGGGGCTGAAACATCACCTTAAGTCACCTTAGCTTTACCGGGACCTATTCTGGACAGGGAATGGACCTCTGAATCGGTTTAATGTAATTTACTCTGATCCTTTCTTAAGCCCTGTTTTGTCCTGCATAGTTTGTCCCTATTAACACATCCATCTTGGAGAATAGTCAGTCACTTTGTCAGTCTGATATGACCAAGAGCAGTGCAATTGCATTTTAATCTGGGACTAGTCAGTTTTGTGCTGGTACTTAAGCTGCAGACTGCCTTTGAACAAGATCTCGTTTGCATGCAAAATCTTCAGGCTGTAAGCCTTGCTCTGTTGTTCGAAAGTGCTTTCTTTTAGCCACTGCCAGTGAAATGATGTTGTACTAAGTAGTCCAAGGCTCAACAGCCTCTGGCAAGAGTGCCAAAGATGACACCCAGGTGCGTTTTGAATGATTGACAAGAGTGTCTAGAGCTCAGCATCACGGCTGTTGTTGGTAGGCATCTGGGAGGGTTTCTGAGTCCCAGGGGCTGTCTTCTATTGAGCTCTGAATGTGAGAGGTGGAACCATAAAGCAAATAAAGATAATTCAATGTTCAGTATCTTTCCTACCCAGGGAAGTGGTTGAGTCCCCATCCCTGGAGGTATTTAAAAGCCAGGCAGACGAGGTGCTTAGGGACAGTGGTGGGATGGCAGGGTTAGGTTAACAGTTGGGCTTGATGATTTTAAAGGTCTTTTCCAACCTAAACGATTCTATGATTCTGTGGTTTATGCTAGACACAAAGATGATTGGTGACATTTTGCCTCATTGAGAGGTAGTATCCCAGTTGTCGCTGTGTGGCTTCCAGCCAGTTTAGCCTCCCATGGGGGAGAGAAGCCTGTAATTTACTCTGCATCTTGCAGAAAATAGCCAAGATCGCTAACCTGAAGGTTGATAAAGCCTTCAGACAAGGCCAACAAAATTAGTGGTCAATTAGACCAGCCATTGATGTTCAGGAGGAGCCCTTTAAATCTAGCCTTAACCTTAGAGTGGGGCCAGTCAGCAGTTTGTGGAAGCTGGATGCCTTTAGGACAGCTGAGAAATCCTTGCTGTTTTTGAAAATGTAGAAGTGCAGACTCATGGTCCTCAGTTTGTTAATTTTGAAATGTAAATTTAGAGAATTTTTTTTTATTTTTCTGATTGGCCTCTGCGTTTCACAACAGGAAGTGATTGACAAATATACAGCAGTTGTGAAGATGATTGATTCTGGAGACAAACTGAAGCTTGATCAGACGCATCTGGAAACTGTAATACCCGCACCAGGTATAGCCGTTGTGTTTGTTTTTCAGCTTAGCTGTGGCTGCAAAGCTTGCATTTCAGTTCTTTTAAACTGTAATTCATCCACTTGAAAGTACCATAACAAGAGCCATCTTGCTTTTGGGACAGCATTTTGTAAGCTACTCTGATCACTTACCAAATATCCTCTGGTTACTTTCTAGGGAATTCTTACATTGCTTCTGCTTTGAGTGTCTTCACAGTCCCTTCTCTTAAGAATTAGATTATTTCTGAGAGGACAGAAGCGCTTTAGCAATGAGTTCATTTGATGAGATGAAAGCATCTCTCTTCAGCTGCCAGGAAGCATCTCTGGGAGTCCTACAGAGCCCTTAATATTTATCCTGTATCTTCCCTCCAAAGTTGTGCCTTGAATAACTGTGGGTACTTGGCAAGGCTTACCTCAGCTCCTGTTTGGTTCGCTGGTGTTTCTTTGGCTGGTACACACTAATGTAGCATCTGACCGGTATTTCAGGGAATGGTCAGGGTAGCAGTAAGCAGAACAATGTCAGTGTAGGGGGAAACAGGGCATAGGATTTGGGGATTCACAGTTTTTTCAGCAGACCTGATGCATTCTGCGTTGCTGCAGCTGGTGAAGAGCTGGTTGATGGTGTCACTGAGTGTTCTTCAGCATGATGGTGCTGGTAGGTGAGCTCTGCCCACCCTTGCACCAGGGCTGATGTCCTGAGGGGTCTGCCTGTGTGAGAAAGAAGGCAAAAAAAGAGTTGCACTGATGCTAATGCACAGGGAATAGGATGTGGGAGAAATAGCTTTGGCTTCTTTTCTTGATATAGTTTCAGTGGCTTCTGCCTGGAGCAGTGAACTTTGGTGCGCTTTGGAAATGGGCAGGCTGTGAGGCACAGCTGGGCGCTGCTTGCTGGAGCTGCTGGGAGAAACCTCTTGTGTGAGCTGTCGGTGGGGTTGAACACAACTTCGTCAAAAGAAGTTGGGAGCCCTGTTGTGTAACTGTTTTCCTATGTCTCATTTCAGGCAAGAAAGTGATGGTATTAAACGGTGGTTACCGGGGAAATGAAGGCATCTTGGAATCTATCAACGAAAAGAGGTTTTCAGCAACAATAATCATCGATTCTGTAAGTATCAAACACTGTAAGAGCTTGTTTCCATAGAGTGTTTTTTTTATCTGTATGTTGGACACCTTTCACAAAGAAAGATGGCATCATTAATCCTGTCTTACAGGTGGGATTTATGGTGTGCAAAATGCTGTGGTCGCCCCCTGCCTATTTCCCAACCAGTAGGAAAACAACCACATATTCCCCATTGCAGACTAATGCTCTGCTGTTTGCCTTTAAAAAGATGCCAGAATGCTGAATTTAGCACGTTTTGAACTTGAAAGAGACTTGCAAAATATTTCGTATTGTTATTTTGAACGTGGCTATTGTACTATTTCGGGGGAAGGTAAAAAATGTGAAATACGCAAGGAGTTGAATTTTCTCCTGCCTTTTCCAGGCTGAATGTGGGGCTTTATGTACTTACTTGTTGTCTTGTTCATGGTTAACAGTTATGGTTGGTTTTTTGGTTTTGTTTGTGTTTTTTTTTTTTATGTATCACCTTTCTCTGGGCTAAAATCAGGCCATGTCATCATGTCTGTGTGGCTCCTTCTTTGTTCTCCTCTGTAAAAGCAATCTTTAAACTCACTGATAGAGCAGAGGGGATATTGGCTCAAAGTCAAATTTCTGAAACACAGCTTGCAGGAGAGAGACCTTTTTAGGGTCCCAATCAAAGAAAGGCTGCAGAAACTCAGGCCGTGTTGGAGTTTGCTTGAGAAAAGACTGTGCAGATGTCCTAACCACAGAAGGAGCTTTGGCTGGAGCTAGGGATCATGATAATGTTGGTCTTGGAAAACAAGGGCAGTTTTTCTCTAGTTCTGATGCTTTCCCCTTCCTGCCTGAACTCTTGAGTCCATATATTAAAAATGGGTGAAACTACTCCTGGAAACCAGTGAAGTCTGTGAGAATTTTCTTACTGATTGTAGGGTGACCAGGATTTTTATATGTAAGAAGCTTGTATTCAGAATTAAATCTTTTACTACTTATAGGTTCACAGTGAATTAATTCAAAACAGCTGCCTATGTTTGCCCCAAAATTGCAAGGACTTCAGCTAATACAGAAAGCGTTTGGAAAGAGAAAATTTCTGGGACAGTGTTGAGGCCCTGTCACATTCTCTGGTCAGGTTGCAAATAATGAAACAGAAAACCTTGTCCTGTGAGCAAATCCCAAACCTGCAGTTTCTTGGCTGCATTCTGCTGTGTACATCCCCTGTACAGCCTCCAGTGTGCAGTTACATGTGGCTTTTGGACAGAGCACTTGAACAGAAGAGTAATTGCTGTGCTGTTACTGTGCGCAGCACTGAGTAAAAACACTAATGCCGGTGATTTCCAGTGCTGTTCACTGCGGTTACGCTTCTTGAAAAATGTCTAAATGTGGCGAGATTTCGTACAGCCCCTTTAAGCTATCTTCCTTTAAGCTGCCCACTGGGAATTCAACAAACAAACAAGTTTATATTTTGGTCTTACTTCTTCTGTGTTATTCTCCAGGGACCTTTAAAAGGACGCCGAGTTGAAGACATCCAGTATGAAGACATTTCCAAACTCGCCTGAGGCACTAATTGTGGATCAGAGAAGACTTTGGTTCCCAAAACCATCTTTCTGGCATCTTGCAGGCAGACACAAGACTCTACCATGTCAGGGTTTTAACTGTGTGTGTGTATGTATTTATAATGTATATAGAAATTAACCACAAGCAAACTGGATTTATTTAAAGATCGCTATGGATTTGTTACATAAAATGTTTATGGCAATCGTATCAGTGGAAATATTGAATCTGATTCTATTGTGAAAGTTATGTTATATCATTTGGTTCCATTTCCTTTTGAAAAATGCAGCAGATACCTGCAAGCTGGAGTATTTTATTTGCCGATGAATGTTAGTAGTTCCATAAGAGTGAGAATTACCTGCAAATAGCCGCTCGAGGCAGGCAGCGTGTGTCGGAGCCCGTGGAGTTTAAACAACACAATCCTCCTTCTGCAGCCAGAATTGAGTTTTGGCTGCAGGAACAAGGGAAGGGATTAAGAGAATAGCAGGAAGGTAACAGTTCTGCGAGGGATTATTTTCCTGGATGTTGTAAGAATGGTCTGGTTTATTAAGTGCTGTCACCAACTTATTTTTGGTTAGCACATCAGCGGTAGCGGAATGTAGTCATCACTCCTCCGTCATCTCTGTCAGGGTTCCTAATAATACTAATATGCAATTTATCTGCAGAGGGGCTTGGAGGTGGATGCTGCTTGTGGGGTTTCTAGGATGCCAGCCAAAGCGTGTGCAGGTATGAATTGGTGACTGCTGGTTTGGTTTTCCAGAGCCTTTCCCTTTGTTCATGCTTCTGTTGTTGCTCTGTTACATGAGTAACATTACTCCTGCTAAATGATGTAACATGACTGGTTTTTTATTTTTTTAAAAATGTCACATTTTGTACAATGTTTAATTTCTAAGGCAGTTGAGGAATAAACATAAACCTTTCTGAGGTCGGTGTATTTGTTACCAGCCTTTTAAACGTGTGAGGTGTCTGTTGGTTTGTATCCACCAAAGAGCAGAGTGCAGTGCCCAGCTGCTTCCCTGCCTTATTTGTGTACAAGAAAGATGCAAATTGTCCCAGGCAATGGTCTGGTCTGCCCCTGGCTCAGCTGTGTGTCCCTGGATCCGGACGGCAAGAAAAGCGATAGCCCCCGTACCCCCAGAGGAGATGGCTGCTGGGGGTTGAAGAGGGCAGGGTGCTGTCGCGGTGCGCACACCGGTTAAGTTGCAGTTTAAAAGTTGAAGGTCGCTAGAAGCAAAACTCGCTGTTCCTGGTCCCTTTCCTTGCCTCGGAGGTTCACTGTCTTGTTGGTTTGTGGTTTCCAGGGGACCCCTGCAGGAAAACTGGAAGACTGCAGAGCTTTAGTGAAAGAGCTGCTGTCTGGAGTAGCCTGAAATAACCTTGCACAGGACATCCCTTGGCTTCCCAGGGACCCCGGGTGTAAATGCTAAGGTGGAGTCGAGCAGTAATGCAGTATCCAAAGAATGGAGAGTTAGGAGGAAGGGAACTGGAGACAGAAGACACGCTTCTGTGAATTCAGGCTCTTCGTGCACCCTGGATTGCGTAAACAGCTCAGAGAACAGGTACTGAGTGAGGAGAGGTATGCAGGAGAGTAATGAGGGTAGGTGAAAGAACAGAACTGCTTCTGTATCACAGAAAATAATTACACGTAAAATTCTGGAGCCTGAAAAGTTCAAGTCATTATAATAGACACGTTAAGTTACGAATCCTGTGGAGATGAACAGAGAATGATTGTTTACTACTTGTATTCACATACAAGCTAGGAAATGGTGGAATTACTGATTTGGGGATTTAAGCCCACACTTGACAGGTTTTTCCTCCCCCCACAGGGCCTGGTTAAACTGGGGAACTCACTGCTGCAGGGTGTGGTGGAGGCCAAAGCTAATACATGAGTTCAACGAAGCAATGAATGGTTTGTAGGGAAGTTGCTTACACTTGTGAGTTACTTTGAAGAGACGCTTAAAACACATTAATCCATGGCTGCAGGAACGATCACGTGCCAGCCTTCAGTTCATAAGAGAAGGAAACTGAAGTTCAGAATGGCAAATAGATCCCGTGAGTCCCCTTCCTAGATTAGGGCTGCTGAGAAGAGTCTGGCCAACATTTTTTTCCTAAGATTGCCTGAAAGCAAAGTTTTAAATCTGGCTCTAGGTGCGTATGCATGTGTATTTGTTTCGCTACCGATCTCATTCATGGTTGAATGCTGTTGAAGAGTAACTTATCTTTTGGGAGCTGATCCCACTGGATGGCAAGTTTTTAGTACTGGTGGTGATTTCTACGTAGCCTGGATTTTTCCCGCTTTCCCAGATTTATATCTGGGTGTGAACTCCACTGTGACGTCGAAATTTTCACAAAAAAATAGGCTGGAGGATGTCTCAGACTCAGAATCTAATTCATTTTCCTGCAATATGGCAGCACCAGCTATTTCAAGGACATTCCTCACCACTGGTTAACCCATCCTTAAAGAGTGGCGACTCCTCGTGATACCCATTCCAGAGCCCATCTTCCTTCTCTGTTAAATTTCCTTTACACCTCATGCATGTCCTCCTGGCTAGGCTTCAACAAAACATTGCTTTTTGCCCAGTCCAGCAGTGCGTGAACTTAGATTTTCCCAGCAGTCTGACAAAGAAGTGTTAGTATCTGGTCATGTGTGTTACCCACGCTGCAGGAGCCACGAGGCCGTTCCGAGTCCCTTATGACATGTACATTATAAAACAGTTGAAAATGTAATGGGGTTCAATACCCGCTAAATGAGAGACGGGACGTGCAAGATACCTACTACAACCCAAGCATGTCACTTTATTCCAGATTTCATTTCTTTTAACAGAAAAGGGAGTTACGTCGCTTTGAAACATTGATCATTTATAAAGCAAATGGAGGTGAAGTCACCTGCGGTCGCTCTGGCTTGATAGGCTGACAGCTACTGTTCGGAAGGGTTGTTTGGGCATGAAGGAGCAGGTAAGACATTTTTTGTAAGGACCTGGTTTTGTGTTGGAGCATTCAGGGTTTCTTGAGGAAGCTGTACAGGTGGGGGACGAGGTAATCTTTGTAGTGGCCATCTATGAAACCTTTCCCGCTGTTGTGCGCAAACCAGCACTGCACGTCAGTCCCGAGCACGCGGTCCGTCCTGTAGTCCTTCTGCAATCCCCTGTGAGGAAGAGGCCACCCAAAATGAAGGCCGTGGCATGACAGGTAAGACAAGAAGGCATCGATAATCCCTGCTCGTTCATGGCGCTGCTCTGCCAAAGTGGCAAGAGGTGCGTCCTCCGGCAGAGGGTGGGAACGGCCACAAAATGCCATGAATTTTACAGTTCTGTGACCTTGCGGGCCCTTTTGTGGGGGTCCCAGGTGCTTTTACACGGCCTGCCAGATGCCGGGCAGCTACATGGACAGAACTGGTTTTGCACAAATGTGGAAGAACCCAACTTGTGTTTTGCCAACTGCTAAAACCAGATTTTTAGCAGAGGGCAAACAGAGGGATTTCCGCCCCCCCCCC